GCCCGACTCCCAGCCCTGCCCGCCCCTGGGCACCAGCCTCGGCGTCCCGGCTTCGCCACAGCCCGTGGAGCCTCAGCTCCCCCTTCGGAAGCTCCCTTCTCGCGCAACCACAGACCCACTCGCCTGCTTTTGCTGCTCTTCCTCCGGTTCCCAGCACCGACGAGGGAGCCAGTTACTTGAGCACCACTGCCCCGCTCCCGTGTTTACATTCCGCTTGCCCTTTGCCCACAGGAAGCGGAAATCACCAGGCCCGACCTCCGACCTGCCTACTTTTTAAAATCCAAGATACGGGGTTGGCCGACCCGCGGCGTCGGAAGCGTCCAGAGAAACCTGCAGGGAAAAAACGCTTCTCAAAGCTTTTCTCATCCGCCAATCCTTCCCCTGGACCACGAATCCCAGAAGTCATGGCGGCCTCCTCCCCCTCCTTTACCCTCTGGGATTTGTAGTCCAGCCACCTGGGCTGGGCGCGCCCTCTAGCAGCAGGCGGAAGTATCGAGTGCGCAGGCGCCAGCGGGAGGGCGTGGGAAACTGCTGCGCGGCCCAGCCGGTCAGCGGTGAAGCCAGGAGGCGTTGGGAGAGCGGTGTGGGCGCTTTATTGCAGGAAGGTATGGCCCTGCTCTGAAGGAGTGTCCGCTCTCGCTGTGGAGGCCGGCTCCACGCAGGGGCCAGAGGCGGACTCACTGAAAAAGGGCCAGGGAAGCCGGCCGGGGAGCGTCCGCTGTGGACTTCGGAAGAGACACGTTTGACAGAGGAGGGGGAATTACGGCCTAAACAAGCTGTGGTTCCCGACTTGAAAACAGGTGCGGGGTGTTCGGGCACCTGGGAACTTGAGGTTGTCGTCACTGCCGCTGTGCTGTGGGAAGGCAGGCCATTGCTGTGGACCCGGCTTCCGCGACCCCAGCGCTGTTACCGGGTGGGGAGGGACTCCCGGGTGCGGGCTCCCCTTTGCGCGGGCCTCCCCTGTGCGCAGCCCCGGCCCCGCCCACAGGCACCCTGGGCATCCCCACCCGCTGTGGCCACCAATGGAATCGCCTCCGGAGGCCCAACATCCCCGGAAAAAAGGTCGCTCTGCCACCGCGGCCCCGATGAAAGCCACCGGTGCGCGCCAGTGCTCCTGCAGGGTGAGCCTCCGGGTGCAGGACAGTAAGAAGCTGGGAAGATTCCCCGGCAAGAGGAGCAGAACACACAAGAAAATTCAACAGGGCCAAGCAGTTTGGACAGTTACAGCCAGCTGGGGAATCGCAAGACCTGATCTTCCCAGCCAAGGACACCTGAGAGCAGGTGTTCACACCTCCCCACCCGAACCAGGGGACTGGAAGTCACCCGGCCTCGGAAATGGAGAACTAAGACCCGGTTAACGCCATCTGGACCCTCTACCCCAGGGACAGGTGAAGTCAGGGAACACAGAACAAAAACCCCGTTAAAGCCAGACAGACCTAAGGTAAAAGTAAGACAGACCAAAGAATAACTCCAGTGCACACTCATTTTGATGCATCATATTTAAAACGCACCTGGAAGCCGGATGACTATTTTACTGAAACCCTCCCGAGATTTTCACCTGCAGAAAAAAAGGGGGGGGGGGCGGTGATAAAAGCCCTCGGGACAAAGGCTCAGTGAGGGCTCACTCGCTATAGAAGCACACCCCCGCCCCTCCCAGGGCATGAACTTTTAATTTCTTCCTAAAACTCTAGGGGTCCCCAGGAGACTTGCAACCAGGGGAGCAGTGGCCAGCGGAAGCTCATTCCAAGCTCACCCCCTGGTGCTGCCTCCAAAGCCCCCTTTTCCTCCGACTTCCTGGAGAGCTCACAGCAGCCCCTCTCGCTAGCTTCTTCCCTGTAACTTTCCTCCTGTTGCTGCTTCTACCCTAATTCCTTCCTGCGTCACCGTTCCCAGCTTTTTTTTTTTTTAATATATTTCACCGATCTTTTACAGAGAGGGAGAAAGAGATAGAGAGCTAGAAACATCGATCAGCTGCCTCCTACACAACTCCCACTGCGGATGTGCCCGCAACCCAGGCACACGCCCCCGACCGGAACCGAACCTGGGACCCTTCAGTCCGCAGGCCGACGCTCCATCCCCTAAGCCAAACCGGTTTCGGCACCGTTCCCAGCTTTAATCAATGTTCTCTCAAACCCTCCTGGACTTATGCTGTGACCTCTCTCTAGAGTTAAGACAAAAGTTAATGTTTGTCCAAGCACTGCAATTATGTTTAGGTACATTGTTTTTAAAAGGGAGGTGCAGATGGTCAGCTATAAAAAAAAAAAAAGTGGGTTTTTCCCCATTTCGTTTTCCCAGAGGCTATAAAAGTTAAGCACATTGTAAAACATGAAAAATGATGGGTTTTTATTACCCATTTCTAAGCCACAGCATTTTAAATTTTATACTTAAATATACGCCATTCAAAACAAAAATGAACGTGTCTCAGAATATTGCACCATGAAGACTAATGTATACTGTACTACTATTATGTTGTGTGTGGAATTTCATTCATCTGGCCAGAACTCACAATGAAAAAGAGATTTCTACTGTGGAGGTGGGCAATAGGAGTTTAAGGGGAAAAAATTTAAATAATGCATATTTTTCTTTCATTCCAAAGGTGCCAGTCAGAGCATAAATGCATAAAGTTCTACGCATAGCCACAGTCCAGCAAGCAGGTATTCAGTGTGAATGTTATCACTACAAGGTCCAAAAGGGTGGGGCAGGGGTAAGAGAGGGCAGGACTTTTTGTATAAAATCATTTAAAACTGTGAAAAAAACTATAAAAGCATCTCAAGAGAATATATAATCAAAGTAAAAGCAATGAATTTTATTTCAGTGAAATTATTTTAAATTAGATATGATATATTAAGCTCCCATATCCCCCAACGTGGTAGAAAAGTTCCTCTCGGTGAGAAATCATTTATTTTAATGGCAAAATTTTTACATATCAGTAAAATCTGTTATATTTAAAACTATGTATATAGTACATTTCTGGCAAAAAAACCTTATACATCTTTCAGTTGTCAAAACAAAGTAAAAATATGGTTGCATAAAATCACAAAAAAATATAAATTGCTGAAGATAAAAAATAATTTGCATTGACTCTTTTACATTTTCAATTAGTAAGAATTTGCAAACTACAATAAATTCGTGAAAATTCTGATGCAACCTTTACATACTCAACGAAAAGCTGTCATTTCAAATGTCCCAGCTTAAAAAAGAACTTACTGCAATAGTCTATGCATTTATCATACTATTTGTACAAGTGCAATATTTAAATATCTTCAAAATAAAACTCAGTAACTAAAAGGAATCACAATAACTTAAAAAGAAGCAAAGTTTACAAAAGTAACAACTTTTAGAAGGTCCTATTTAATTGGTTCCTCCTTTTGTTCCCCCCACCTCCCCTGCCCCATAACAGCTTACAGAGACATGATAGCAATGTCTTAGTTTTATATACAGATGTGTAACTTTAAAAATAGTCTCTGTTCTTAACATCAGGAACAATGCTGCATTTAGAGAGCCTACATAGTAAATCAGTATCTTCTAAACAGAGGGCCATGTACAATTTAAAATATGGTTTTGAACTTATACCTAAATGGAACTCCTACTATTTTATACAGCTTTCAGATTCTAAACTGAATAGAACAAGCCCTGGACAAAAAGAAGCCCAGATTTTTCTTTCGGATTCAGTGCATGTTTCTAGGGGTGCTGGAGGCAAATCAACGACAGTACTATGCAAGCTACGATGGCATCTGAGTACGTTACTGTCCAATTACACAGGTGCCCACTGTATTTGCAAAAAAACACACACACAAAACAAACCCTACATTAACAGTCTTAAATGAGGGGGCGGGGGAGAGATTTTACAATGGAAAAATGATTAACAGCAAAAAATATCCGTTTCTTAAAGTTAAAATTGTATAAGGCGAATATGAGTAATACTTTTATTTTTTATTAGCATACACATGATAGCAGTTTTATCTGAGGTGACTTTAAATCTTCATTTATACCTGTAATGTAATGCTATTGCTAAGAGCAAGAAAAAGACTATAAATCAGAAATCTTAGGAAGATTAAGCATCTTTAGGTGGTTCCCATAATACTACCTTTTTTAAAGTAATTAAAAGCAAAACAAATGTGACCATTTAGAACTATCCAATTATATCAGTATTTTACTAAAATAGTGTTATACCTAAGAGGACATTACCAAATGCAATGTGTAAACTTTAATTGGATCTGGTTTGAAATAACCAGCTATAAAAGAAATTTGGAGAACGGGGAAAATCTAAATATGCATGATTAAATTACATTAGGGAATTATTTTTGTAACAGGATTATGGTTTAAAATATTTTTCAGATAATTATTTTTAGAACATGCTTGAAGTGTTGAGGGGTAATGGGTAGGTCTACAACATCCAAATGGTTCAGGGAAGAGCATATCATATATACAAAAATATATGTATAACTATATCCATGTACACAAGTATAAAGCAAATATGGCAACATGTTAACAAGTGTTGAATCCAAGTGGTAGACACACATGTATAAATGTTTATAATGAAATCTGGAAGCAAAAGTCACATCTGAACCTTTAAATAGTTTGTAAGAGGTGTTCTTTCTGTGCAGTGAATCAATTTAAAAGATATATGATCGAACAACAAGAAGTGTTTGCATACATTCAATACTGACAGGAGGAGCAAAGGAACAGGTAAGATTGGCAAAAACAACATGATGTATTCACAGTATATGCATCTCAGCTCTTGCGACAAAAAGAGCAATTTATGTACAGAATATAGGGACAAATTGTTAAAATTAAACTCGGTGCCTAGAAATTTAAATGTTAGTTCTATATGTGTTTCTGGACTTAACCAAACTAAAGAGAAAACTTGCATGTGTCTAATCTTTGCTGTGACTCACCAAATACTATAGAATATTAAGGGGGAGGGGCGGGGGGGGGAGATGGAAGAGTCCTCCATGCTGTCCCTACTGTTAGAAGATACTTGCTGCCTAAGTTCAGGAGCCCAGAAAACAAAATCACCCATAAAGTTCTCTGGGGATTCTAGGCAAGTATTTATTGAATAAATTTATGAAGCAAATATATAACACAACATGTAATAACAAATGAAGGCCTTTATGGTAAATTAATATTCTACAAAGCCCTGTGTACACTAAATATAAAAGAGCCAAAAATCAAGTGAGCCTGAGAGACCTATAATTCATTGTGTATATTTTATGATGCTATATGCCTACTGAAACAGGGAACAAAATTACCTTAATTCATTTTTGCACATTAGGCTTTTAAACTAAATCAGGTTCCAATCCCTGTGCAAAATGCATTCCAAAAGGCTAATCCTCAGTTATAATTGTGTATAACTTGATTATAAATGGAAGCATTTGGCTATAGTTTATTATGCATGCTTATTGCTATCAGAGAAATAAGCAAAGTTTTAGGCTTATTGTGCAAGAATTTTAATTAAATTTGCACACATCTCAAAAAATTCTATTGTGTGACTTCCAGGTCTTGGAGTTAAGTCAACAGGAGAAGAGTCAAGTGAGGTCACAGATGAGGTAAGAGAAGCTTCTGCGCATTTTCCTTGAGCCTCCGCATCCGAATCACTCCTTTGGCAAGATCGATAGTTGCTAACTGACCCCGATCTCTGTGGCGTCGCAGTCCCTGATTTGGCTTCCATAATTTCATCTGGGCAAAATGCAATTCAACTTATTAGAATCCATTACACACCCCCACATTTCAATAGTATTTCACTCTCTTTTTTGAGTGCAATCATTGACCAGCTATCAAGAGCATGTTTATTTTGAATCCCTTCTCAAACAGAAGCAAAGCATCCGTATTAAATTACCTTTTTTACACATAGCATGCATTCTCCTGATGGCTCATCAAGATTGGGCACAAAATAAGTAAGTAAATAAGTAAATAAATAAAAAAAATGAAAGAAAAAAAAGATTAGGTATAGTATGTAGCTACTCATCAATCTTGCAATCCAAGAATAAGAGCCCAATAAACTAATAACTTGAGGCTTAATGAATATCATTCCTTAGCAATAGAACTTAATCCCTCCGCAATGAAATCATAGAATAAATGTACTTTTGGAAGATATCTCATCCAACTCTTTGTTTCATCAATATGAAAACAAACCCCCAAAAGTTAACTGACTTGCCACTGGTAACCAATGAACAGGGAAGTAAATCTAGAACCACGTCTCCCAACTCTCATCTCAGTGTTTTTCACTCACCCATTTTCTCTTCATATTTGATCTAAGATCTCATAAAAGAGCAAAAATGAACAAAAGCAGGAAAAAAACGAAGTTGGGAACACAATACAAAAACAATAAATGGTCAGTGCATTGGTAAACCAGGTGCAAAAGTTGAGAATTTGATCCAAAAACAGTGAGAAAAATAAAACCCACTCTGTATCTCTGACTGATTTAGTGTTAACAGATAAGCACTCTTTGGACATAAAGATAAGCAGAAAAGCTTGGACAGCATATCACAGCTCAAACCTGTGTCTTTCTGATACTATGTAGACACTATCTTTGAGTGTTTAAAGACAAAAGAATTCAGAGGTGAGTTGTCTCACCTGACTATATTCCATACAATCTTAGATGAAGAAAAATAGCAACACATCTTAATTAATTTGGCCAATAAAGAATTGCCATAAACATTTACCTAATTATAGGCTTTGTTTATGAGAGAATTTTTATATGTACAGCTATACCCTTTTATAATGATGGAGTAGAGAAAGGATATTTACCTGAATTATGAGTCAAATGTGTTCCAACGGGTTTTTTAATAGATAAGGTAAATTAGTTTTAATAGCATATACACTTGGGAAATATGAGTTAATGTAAATTTCAAACAACGTCAAGATTATTGTACATTTACTATTATAGTCTATCATAGATATACCTTGGTATTTAAGACATTTTTTTCCCGTTTAAAAATAAAACCAACAACAAAAAACAAGTATGTGCTTTCTGCAATTTTCTTCAAGTTAACTAATCTAAATATTTGAAAAGGAGATATTCTGGCAAACCATACATAATGGTAATCAGAGATGTATTTTCTAAGTAGAGATTTTCATTTTCAAACTATTAAAACAGTAAAACAATACTCAACATAATTAACGTTTCTTTAATAAAATTCAAGAAGGTACTTTAAGATCTTACAGAGCAATAGGGTCATTAATTTAATGACCAACTAAAAGACCTAATTTAAAATTTTAAATATTTCAGTGATTTGATCATCAGGTTGTCAGTGACTGTTTATAATAGCTGGTAACTAGAAATGTTCAACAGTCTAGGTATAAGGTTAATGTCATTGTTAGCTAACTATGATAGTTACCATGGACATAAAATGCTTTAGTCTCAGGAATCCTTCTACAGTGCATTTTACACAAAAGTGACCTATTATTTAAGCACACTTATTGAAAAGTAAATGATACTGGAAACATGTAACTCTCACAAAAATGACAAAAGATGCCCATCTCTGATTATACCTATAGCGTCAAGCGTGGAGAAAAGGCTGGTTCCAAGGAGAAAAATAACCAGAAATCCCTACAAAACATTTCTCAAGGGCCCTGCAAGAAACCTGACCCAGCCAATAATGCCTTGTTCTCTGGAGCTACTCATTAAATCTGTTTACAGTGCCTTGTCACTCAACTCTAAAAGCTATGAACTATTACCTAATCCTCAAGTGAAAAGTAAAAATTTTATTAAGTATCAGGTAAGAAATTATTTAATAAAACTTACAGAAAAGTCAACAATTGTTTCTAAATAAAACATTTATCTTACCAGAATGGGCCACTTCAAAAAACAGAAATGTGGCAGAAACTACTGCTTTAGGATGAGACTGCGTCTGGCTTCAAGAATTCTACAACATAATCTTAAAATGACAATATAGTCTAAGACTACAAGAATACCAAGATTTACAAATGTTGACATCACAAAAGCACAAAATCTCATATTACTTTTTTTTTCTCCATTGAGTTACGAGGAACAATTCAAGACGCATCAAAAGAATCAAAGACGCCAAAACCGGTTTGGCTCAGTGGATAGAGCGTTGGCTTGCGGACTGGAGGGTCCCAGGTTCGATTCCGGTCAAGGGCATGTGCCTTGGTTGTGGGCACATCCCCAGTGGGAGATGTGCAGGAGGCAGCTGATCGATGTTTCTCTCTCATCGATGTTTCTAACACTCTATTTCTCTCCCTTCCTCTCTGTAAAAAAATCAATAAAATATATTTAAAAAAAAAAAAAGAATCAAAGCCAAAAAGCCAAGTTAGAAAATAGGTCTCATATGCCATCTATGGTGTTTTGGGATATACTTACCATCAATACTTCGGAAATCCAATAAATACGTTCTACTATCCACTTGGTATAACTGTAGACTCATTTTGGAGTATGTACTTGTCACAGGATTCTTCCTTCGAACGCGCAAATAATATGGGTTCACAACCTGGCGTACGGTATGGACAAAAACAAAGTCACAAGCAGTTTGTCTATGAAACACTGCAGGTTTGCCAAATGTGCCAATAATCAGAATGCTCTTCCTTTCCTACCTTCCATTCGTAATCCAGCTGTTTAATTGCTCTACAAACTTCTGCCATGATGTCACTTGGCCGACTTTGACTTCTAATTCCCAAGTGCCATTTTGCTTTCCTTACCCCTTGGTGTTTGGATTTCTGTGGGTTTAACTCATCGAGGGTGTGGCGTGCCCTTGGAGTTTCAGCAACCAAGAAGGGCACTCGCTCAGGGTGGGGCCGACTCAAATGGTGGTCATCGAGAAAAGAGTCAGGTGGGCTTGTCGCCAGGTAGAAATCTTTGGCCTCATTCATTATTCTCCTGTTATCGATGATGAGGTGGTAGGCGACGGCCAGCGGGTCCTGGTGATTTCTGCTGTAGAGGCAGCTGAGAACCTCCTCTTCTGAGCATTCGAATTTCTCACAAACTTCTTTCAGGGCTTCATCATCAATCATGGTTGAACTATATGACGGATCCTCAGGAAAGAGATATTTTGGAAGGTCCTGTTTAAACCATTCATGCTCCCTGAGAAAAAGGCAGGGCCAGGAGAAGGGATTTTTAATAGAGATGAGACTGAAAGTAACAGTTTGGGGAATTTAGGATATAAATTCATATATATATATACTGTAGCATCATTTTTTTTTAAACTGAGATTTTCCTCTTCTGGCTCACATTTCATTGTATCTATCAAGGGAAATTGCCCTAACTGGTTTGGCTCAGTGGATAGAGCGTCGGCCTAAGGACTGCAAGGTCCCAGGTTCGATTCCAGTCAAGGGCATGTACCTTCGTTGCAGGCACATCCCCAGTAGGGGGTGTGCAGGAGGCAGCTGATGGATGTTTCTCTCTCATTGATGTTTCTAATTCTCTATCCCTCTCCCTTCCTCTCTGTAAAAAATCAGTAAGATATATTAAAAAAAAAAAAAGGGAAATGCTGTGGCCTCCCTCTGATTTTAAGGAGAAAGCATTGCTGTAGTAACAGGAGAAGCAATGTGTATACTTTAGATTACATTTAAATTGGAAAAAAACACATAAAATAAGAAGCATCTCCCACTTAGTTTAAAAAATAAACTTTAGAAAATGATTTGTCTTTTCCATCAGCTGGTGGAGTCACACGCTGACCTCTGTGGTCTCTTTCTGGCTGGTCTACAGCACACGGAGTAAATGGGAAGAAATCAAGCTCTAAGTTCTACACATGATCTTTCCTTCTTCGTTGCCCTGATGCACCTTGTTTACTAATCCCAGATCTGCACCTCTTTCTTTCTTCCTTGTCCCTCCATCATCAGAGAACTGTGCTGTCTAGCCATTCATTATAAGACCAAAGAGAAATTCCATAGGAGGGAGAAAAAAAAAAAGGAAACATAGCAGTAGAAGAAACATACTTTGCAGTGGATTTTAAGTCTTCATCAGAAAAGGCTTGCCCAAATTTGAGAAGTAGATTTGTCACCATCACCTTTGTCTTACTTAAACTATTAGGTTAAACTGTAAGAAACTGGCAATATTGATGGATTATGTGCCTACAAAATAGCAACTTCATATGTGATTCAATATCTACTACCTCAAAAAGTATGTCATGGATTATACTAAAATGTTTACATTCCTTGAGATGAACAAAAGGAAAAAATAATTCATGAGATCAGAACTCAAATAACTATACATAAATTAACTACTAAAAAGTTTTAATCCTAATAAGAATACTTAAATGTCAAATATGAAGCATACTGTAGAAAAATCTCATAGAAGCACTACAAACAGGACCCTATTAGGGTCCTTCTATTTTTCATTAGCTATTTTTTTTATTTAAAAAGTAATATAGCCCTGACTGGTTTGGCTCAGTGGATAGAGCATTGGCCTGCGGACTGAAGGGTCCCAGGTTCGATTCCGGTCAAGTGCATGTACCTTGGTTGCAGGCACATCCCCAGTGGGGGATGTGCAGGAGGCAGCTGATCGATGTTTCTCTCTCATTGATGTTTCTAGCTTTCTATCCCTCTCCCTTCCTCTCTGTAAAAAATCAATAAAAAATATATTTTTTAAAAAGTAATATAATGCTCACTATTACAATTTCAAAACAAAGATGCACAAGTAAACAGTGAAAATCCTCCCTCCTACCAATTTCACAGTATAGTGTGTATTTTTAAATAACACAATAAATTAATGTGTCTATACGCTATTTTTTTTAACATAAAAACAGTACATATTGTCCTGCAACTTTTCCTTTCACTTACCTTACATCATTGACACTATTAGACCTGATAATGTGCAAGTTGCTTTATTACCTGATATCTTTGATTGTGGCCCTCTTCATGGGATCCACCTGCAGCATATGTTTCAATAGGCTGATCACAGAAGGATTTAAATACTGAGGGGTATAAAAGATTCCATCACATATCTTCTTAAAAAGGGTTGGCACGTGGTCATCGTCGAATGGAAGGGTTCCACATAACAAAGCATAGAGAATAACCCCACTGCTCCATATGTCTACCTCCGGACCTGCATACAGTCTGCAACAGGAAACACCCACTGGGTTAGTAACTTAATAGTCAGTCATTTAACCAAAATGTTAAGTACGAACCAGCTGGCATGGCTCAGTGGTTGAGTGTCCACCTATGAACCAGGATATCACAGTTCAATTCCCAGTTGGGGCATATGCCCAGGTTGTGGGCTCGATCCCCAGTATGAGGCAGGCAGGAGGCAGCCTATCAGTGATTCTCTCTCATCATTGATGTTTCTATCTCTCTCCCTCTCCATTCCTCTCTGAAATCAATAAAAATATATATATTTTTTAAAAATGTTAAGTATGGATAGTTCATAAATAATTATTAGAATACTAGAGGCCCGGTGCACGAAATTTGTGCAGGGGGTGGGGGTGGGGGCGGGAAGGAAGGGGGGCCCTAAGCCCAGCCTGCACGCTCTTGTAATCC